ACCCTTCAAGGACCTGGGCAGCCAAGACCCCCTTCACCTGTAGAGGGCCCGGCACCCCCTATCGCATCTATGGTACGAGTACGATCATAAACGTTTTGCATCACTCACTCTTTTCACCTATGCTGGTGGTCCAGTTGAAATGAATCTCTTTGGTACCGACAGACTGCATGAACCTGCGAATGAAGCAATAAACGATAAGAGATTTAGCACATCTCTCGGCCGGTACCTATGTAGCAATTTCAGCATAAGAGTCTCTTGTGTTCTTTTCATGAGATTGTGCAATACAAACAGCTTGAGCAACATTCCTCCATCCACCACAGATTCATCTCTTGCGCCTGTAGCCTGCTCAGCAGCACCTAGAAGCAAATTGCTGGCCATTACTGGAGTCTGGACTCAATCAAAAAGAAAAGCTCGCGATAACTCTAATCACCGTCAGCCTTTTCTTTTGCAATACGCCGCCGACGACATAAGGCAGTTAGAAGATATACAAGGCGATCTTGCTGCTCGGTGACCGTCCACCTCAACAAAAAAAATCCAGAAACAGAACACTTGCAATCGAAAAATTACCTGTGCGCCTCATTATTGAAGATGGACACAACTAAGTCTACGACAACTGGGACCCTCTCGCCAGAGATATTTTCTGACACTACCGCAGTTTCAGAGAGAGCGCGGCAACTACGCAATGTCTGAAGACTAAACATTGAGCATTTTCAACTTTCATAGATCAAACTAACATTTATTACTCCAGGTACTATATTTTTATCCTCCAAACCCTGAAGTAGCAATCTGTTGAGGGTTTCGCGTGGGACCATAAGCAGATACCATAACAGCTGGAATGTAAAAGAGAGCATCATTCACATTGCAAGTTATGACCCTAGACTGGCAACTGAAAAATAAAAACTAACACTACCTTATCTCGTATAAATTTGAACTTTGCAGCATCACTCTGTATTTCATTATGATCTCCTATTTGATTTATGCATTGGGTGATACCAGAAGAGTAGTCCTGCAATGAACTAACTTCTCAGAGAATAATAAGTAAGCAGACGAACCTGCAAATGTGCTCCCAAAGAGGGTAAGTTACCGGTCTCAAAAACATGCTTGTCGTACACGAGTTTTGTCAACGCCGCCTA